TTTATTAAGGTTTGTTTTAAGCAATGGGTTGGATTGAGAGGAAGCAACAGTTCTGCAGATGAATACATAATATAACATGCAAAGATTGAAATCTTAAAGTAAAAAAGCACAATATCTGTGCAACCCTGTTCAAGAGCCTATTGCTTGTAGAACCAAGTAAGCTGGATCAGGATCCTAGCATTAGTAGAATGACATTGCACAGTGAAGGGGGGCCTTCATTGTGAATGCAGCATGCCTTCCACACACACAGAGCAAGATCTGGATCCAGTCCACAGCACTTTTGCTTATTTTCCCTAATTCTGAGAGCTGCCTTTAATGTCACAACACAAAGAAGTCCAGATGATTGGTGTGTCCTTGTTTTGTGCCTTCGGTTCATTTTAACATGGGAGCTTCACTTCATCCCTGTGGTGAGATGTGTCTACAGTCAATGTATTTTCCTACCAAGTTTCTACTTGAGATGTTTCAAAAGACATGTGAAAAAAGTTACGAAAGTTATGGCAAAGGGCAAAATTAGATGGGATATTTATTGTATGAAAGCACATAACACACAGTTTTTAGACATATGAAAAGCCATACAGGGTGTCCAAGAAGGATCAAGACTATTTTATTTTTATTTTATTTATTTTTATTAAAAGCTTTTCTATCCTGTCTCTTATAGAATGTCTCAGGGCTATGATACATTGCGGGGTGGGGTAGTCATTCTTCTGTCGCTGTGTAAGGGGCTCCTGATCCTTTTAAACATCAGATTGTAAGTTCTTTGACATCAGGGATTTGCATGAGTGAGCAAGCTGGTGTGTATAACAGAAGTAGCTGAATGGGTCTGGAAGGAAAATTGTCCCAGCTGTCTGCCAGATTTCTGGTGCAGCAGTGGCAGGTAAATCTATGTGATTCTGGAGACCATAGAGATGGCATTAATGATTCTCCTTCCTGTCAATATGCTTTGTTTGGCAATCTCCTGATGTTATGTATGCTTACTTAAAGGTGGATTTTCAGGAGCAGAAGAAGGACTGTTAGCGATCTGTCTTGTCTTCCACCCTCAAATAGGAGATGTAGGGATGTTGCTGAAGTTATCCAACACAGTTTGAGACCCCCACATATCTCAGTTGGTAGCCTGGGAGGGAAGGAGGTCTTTAAAAGATAGCATGATATAGCTCATTTTAAAAGCAGCTGCAGCAAGACCTTTATTGAAATGACCCTCCCTAGATCATCCTAAGTATTGTATTCCCTAATCACAATGTATGAGTGTGTGAACTGGACAGTTAAGAAAGCTGATAGGAAGAAAATGGATGCATTTGAACCATGATGCTGGAGGAAAGCTTTGCAAATACCCTGATGGAAAGATAAGTGGGTCTTAGAGCAAAAAAGCTAGAGCGAAAATGGCAGAACTGAGGTTGTCATACTTTGGACACATTGTGAGAAGCAAGACTTACTGGAGAAGACAATCAGTGAAAGTCTAAAGCAGAAGATGAAAGGGAAGACCAAATATGAGAAGAACAGAATTCATAAAGGAAGCCACAGCCTTGAACTTGGAAGAACTAAACAGAGCTGTTGTGGACAGGACATTTTGGAAGATATTCATACAGTGGCCATAAGTCAGAGATGATTTGACAACAAAGTTGCTGCTACCTATGCCGCTAACTGTTGTCCCATGTCAATTATATTATTTTTGACAGGTGCTAACAAGGGCACAGCTCAAGGCATTTCTCAGTAAGGCTGATTATCTCAATCCCTTTCAGTCTGGCTTCTGATATGGTTTTCTGACTAAGACTGCCTTGGTTGCCCTTGTAGATGAACTGGACAAGAAGAGGGTGTCCCTCCTTCATTCTGCTAGGACTTCGGGGAATACCTCATCCACTGAAGTATTCACAGAACATATGCAAGACTTTATGATAAACTTCTAGGCCCATTTGATAGGCCCAAAATCTTCAGTATCTGAGTGGAACATTCCAATCCAAGCCTTACTCTCTTAGCTCTGAAGAAGCATCTGCATTTGCAAACTGATCCATAATCTTCTTTCTAGCTGACAATTTGAAGAGCTCATTTTATGGCCTTGTTGAGGTCCCTTGGATCTAAGTATATGTAAAACAGCCTATTGTGATTTTCCTCTATTACCTATTTACCCATTTGATAGGGTCAGTTTTTAATTACTTGTAAGTCAGTCACTCTGTCTATTCAGTTTATAGTTTATACCAGAGAACAAATGGCACTTTCCTACATAAGTGAACATCTGGAGCAATTGCCTTTTAATCTAGAGTGCTAAACAGCCCAACCCTATTAACAAATTCTTGAATTCCTCTAAATGCTCTTGGGCAGTATGGTTCTATAATTTAAATGCACATTTTACCAGATATAGTTTTCCACAGACTGTTAGTCCCTGGATTGGTGTTAGATTCTTGGGTACAATTAGGAAAAGAAGCCATTTAGTTGCCTCTTTTGTACGTGACACTAGTAATATATCTCCCAAAAGCTGTGGTATTTGTTCCACTAACGAACTCTGATGTTTGTTAGTCCCAAGTTTGGCCTGATTAGATAACTTTTATAATTTTTTTAGCTAACAAAATAAGCAGCAAGTATTTTCAACACTGTGCACTGTGCTTTAACTTGGCATCATCCTCCAAATTTTCATACTTCTTACAGTAAAAAAAAAAGGGTTTTTTTAATGCACTGGTGTTTAGGACTATGCTGTGTTCCACAGTTTTTGCATGCTTGTCCCTTTTGTATTCTCCCAGCTGCTTGGGAAAAATGTATTTCCAGTGGTAACTGGATTCCTTACACTGTGTTCCTTCATATTTGAAACATTGAAAATACCATGACCTGAATTCAGATTTTTGGTTTGTGCTTTCATAATTTTTGAAACTCCCCCTTGTGTTGCAAGTGCTCTCCCATCACTTTTTCTCTGACACCACAGATAATCCTTTCCCTGATCAATGAATCTTGATGCTTGATGTTTTTTTACATGTAAATCATTTATTTGTTTCAAATTTTCTTTCTTTTGAAATATGCAGTATTGTTCACATTTATCAAACATTACTTTCAGTTTCCTTTTTTCTCCTTCAGCAAGCCCATAGTTGCTATACTGAGAGCCTCTTTTCCCGCCACATGAAATAAAATAAAGGATTTGATCTTCTCAGTTTTCTCTTATGTTCTAAGGTTGTCTAAACCTTTTCACATTATCTGCCTGAGAGTGGTGTATTAACATCCAAGCATAAAAAACTGTTTGAGCCATAAAGATACAGGCTTGTAATCAATAATGTTTATCAAGATATTATAACAGAAAGTTACTGTACCTAGCAGCATTTATCTAAATGAAATCAGTGTATATAGAGAGTATTGCATCTGGAGATTATCAAATGGAACTCTAATCATGTAATAGGACTTTTCTAGCTGCCTCCCAAAACTAGAGGCCTTGACCCCCAAAATGGCCATTCCTGAGGGTTAAGTGGAGTACTGTGTGATGGGGAAGGGGGCTATACTGGGATGGAAAGACTGAGAGAACTAAGCCTTGCACAAGCATAAGTCTTTCTACTTATGCAAAATATAGAAGAGCCAGTGTTGTTAAGGATGTGGGATTGACACACAGGAAATCTGCGTTCTAGTCCCCACTCAGCCATAGAGCTAACTGGGTGACTTGAGCCAGTCACAAACCCTCTGCCCAACCTACCTCACAGGGTTGTTGTTGTGAGGATAAAAGTGAGAGAAGAGAATTCTGTAGCCACGTCAAATTCCTTGGACAATGGCAGGATATAAATATAATAAATAATAAAATAATATTCAGATCCAAGCTTCTCTTATTTGTGGGCTTCAAGGGTTTATTTTCTGTTTTCTTAAAAAATGCTTTTGATCAACTTGTATATTTCTTCCATGCATGTATATTTCTTGCAGACAGTCATAGCTACCATAAAAGATGCCTGCTGAAATTCAGTTATGACCTGTTATCGCCTGTCTCCTCTTCTCCAGAGGGCAGGTTATTCTAAAATTTCCAGAAGCTATTTCCCAGAGTGCATGTGTGTTTGGCTAGAATGGATAAGAGAGCAGAACTTTCTCTCCTGGTTGGCTGCCAACTGTCTGGAGCAACAGAGCAATCTGTTGTCACAAATTGATGGATCTTTGTATGATACTTCAAGGCCTAGCAAATATCTCTGTTGACATCGCCATATTTGTCCTGCAAATGAAAAACCAGTATCTTGAGATTCCACTGGGAATAATAGTTTTGCCCTTTAAAAATAGCCCCACATTATGCTTACTGAGAAAATAAATGTCTTCCTTTCCAAGAAAACAACTGTGATCTAAAATCGGGTTCTATGTTTTTAAGAGGTACAAATGGTTCTGCACTTCTCAAGGCTGAACTTTAGGGGAGGACAGTGGAGCACTGAAATAAAGGGAACACATAAGTGCTTGTTTGGAAATGGAGAAGAAATGCATATGGTAATGAAGCAGCAGTGATTCCAAGTCACACTAATGCTTACCTGTCCTCCTGTTCACATCACATATAGCAACACATGTGGGACAAGCATTCAGTCCACACAGCAGGAAGCCATGATGAGCTTGCAAGAAGGTACCTGTTTCACTGTCTTGGTGTGCTGTATTTTTCAGCATGCAATAGATAAATAGAGAAGAAGGGAAATGACAATTGTGCATGTCTTCACTGTAAATGAGATACTTTTGGAACACCACAGGAATAATGTTTTCTTTTTTCTAGGCAGCGCACTTCTTACCAAGTAGCACCCATCTCAAAATCTGCATGTGCTTCCAGTTCAGTTTAGAGTTCATGGAATGTTTGCAGAAACATTTCATTGGTGACATTCTGTCCGCATTCCACTGGGCTCCACAATCCTAGCACATTTTCAGGGGACTGATCTGCCTACAGTGACTGCAAACCCTCCACAATTGCACAGTGTGTGTTTGACACTGTAATACACAAAATAGCTCACATCATTATGAGTAATATAAAATGTCATCTTATTTCTAAAGTAAATTTTAAAATTTTTATTTATTTTTAGCTGTAGAAGAACATAAGGCAGAAGAGAGCCATTTACAGAATGCACAGAAGGGGTAAGCTTTTCTATTTCATTAACATTGTATGTTTTATTTATCAAATGGCCCCTTTTGGCTTTAAATCTGTTTAAGTTAAATGTTGTTAAATACAGTATGATTCTTTACTTCATATGCCTACTCATGCTTCCAACATTTTCATACACTTATTTTGGACTGTCATAAGCAGGCTTTGAAATGGAAGCTCTCTAGGCAACTTATTATATAAATCTGTACATAGATTGTTCCTCTTCAGAATCCTGAAGTTCATGCTTGATTAGAATAGGAGGTGGTGGTGCATGTTTGATTAAAAATATAACAACACAGAAAGCTAGGGTGTTGGGGAAAAGCTAGACTTGCAACCTTTCTATTTGATTTTTTTCTGTGTGTGGGTATGTGAGGGGATGTTTACGTTTTTTTAACAGTGTGGCGTTTTCAGTCATAGCACTCACCCACACTTTGAATTGGCTATAAGCTGCTTATTTCTACAAAAGGGCAACTACTTTTTTAGTTTCATGTTAGACTGAAAAATCCCAATTCTATAAAGGAGTCTTCTGCAGTTACAAGATTAGGCATGTATCATATCATTTTTATGTATAATTTAAAAATGAACATGATAATATCTTGATTCCAGTAAACTACTTGGACCTGTCCAGTGGATTTTTTTTAATTTTGAATAGATGGCCACACTCCAGTTAGTTTTTGAAACTCTTCAAAAGTGGTTTTCCTTATGCAAGATAGAAAACTGCAGTTTAAGAAATATGGTCTCCCAACCCTTTTGTTTTTTAAGATACAAGCAGATATAACTTAACTTGGATTAGAAACTGAAAACCAGAGCTATCTTTAGAACAGATATATTCATACTAGTGTGTGTTCTTAGTGTATGTATTTGTTTATATTGTTTGTAAATATGAATACCTTATCTTTCCAAATATCTTCAAAGACAAAGTTTACTTAAAAATAGAAAACAAACTCAGAGTAAAATATCAGCACAATAAAATCAAACAAAATACTAAATAAACATAGAAAATATAAATAGCACAACAATAGAACAAGCCAAGGACATATTTAAATATATATTATGAATTTATCATATTTTGCCATTAAACAATTACATAGCTTGGAATGCCAACTGAAATGGAAAGGTTGCAAGATGACAACGAAACTGGAGGAGGAGAAAGATTGAGTTAAGCCTCTATCGGAAACATTTTGTATTGCACTGCATTGTACAAGTATTGTAAACTGAAGTAAAAGAATTATTTCATAGAACTATTCAGTATAATGCAGCTAAATAACTGTTGCAAGAAAATCAAAATCTTTCCATAATTTCTCCTCCACCAGCAGCTCTGCATTATGTTCTTTTGTACTCTCAACAAAAGAGCACCATTATTTTTTTCCCATGCAGAAAAAGCAAACATTGAAAGTTGCATTACATTTGCCATCTATTGCTGGTAGTTTCCAGGTTGCAGCTGATCTCTGTTAATTGCCAATCTTGGTTATCCAGTCAGAAATCTGCCCCAAAGGTACTTGAACATCCACAGTAGGTTTATGTGCTGACAATATTTTCCTCCCCTCACACTGTAGCTTTAAAGAAATGGTGGAATATTTTGAGATAAAGCCAAAGCCTGGAGAGAAGGAGACCATGCCAAACCATGTTTTCATGGTGTGGTACGAGTTCTGCAGTGACTTTAAGTCCATTTGGAAACGAGAGAGCAAAAACATTTCCAAAGAAAGGTAAGGTTCTAATAAAGTCATTAATACCATTTTTAGAAGTCTGGGAAACTGTTCCTTTTCAAACTCAACAAATTATACTCCCATATTTCACAGGCGTCATTGTTTTCTTTCAGATCAAATGGACATCAAGGAAAGATTATTCCCTCAGGGTGCCTAGGAAAATTCACCAAAGGGATGCTGTCCCCACAAAAAGATAAACACATATAATCTGATAAATTACACTTTCTTAACCCCTTCCAATTACTAGCTAGTAAAATGAAAGGGGAGCTGTGCTAATTTGTAACAGATTGCTTTTCTTTGAGTTTCCATGTTGGACTACCCTAAATGAGGCGATATTGCTGTTGCAGACAGGACAGACAAATAAAAGTGAATGCTTTTTCCAGTTAATATACTACACTTGCATCAAAGGGAAGCCTATGAGATTCAGGCCACACTTAGCACAGTGTTGAAGTCCCACACTGAATTTACAGCACCACCTTTTGGTATCCCACTGTGGACATCAAACTGCATGCCGCTGCATCTCCCACCGTCTCCTGATTTTATTAGGTTTAGTTAAAGCCTTTTTTAAGGCTTCACCCATGAGCTTGGTTTTTAAACAAATGTAAAGAAATGTTGGGATAATTACTTAATAAGCAGCTTTTTACTGTATGCCATAGTTCTGTTGTTGCATTCTATTAATTAAAAAAAAAACCTAAATGAAATACATGGTAAGTCTTTCCAGTCTAATAATCTTGCTCTCTTTCATTTCATCATTTCACTTTCATTTCCTATCAAACTCAGTTCTCTGAATGCCGCTCTTTATGTAGTGAAACTATGTATCATTGGCCCGGGGGATGGATGGAGTTTGCACTAAAGTTTGCATTAACACAAAAAGTGCAAAGGTAAACCTTTAGAGTGGGGAAAATCCTAAGGGTGAGCAGCTCCCAAAATACCCCAGAGAAGACTAAGTGTTTTCAATGACCACAGAATATTGATTGACTGTTGCAGGAGGGAACAGAGAATCAGGAGGCGCAGCTTTTGCATAGAAAAAGGAAGTGGTACAATGTAACATGACATGGTGGTTCAGCAGTTCTGCAGACTTGGTGTGAACTTGTTTAGTTAGTAGCCTAACTAAGTCTACTAACTAAGGCCAATGTGATGCAGTAATTAGAGCTTTAGACTGGGACTCATGAGTTCCAGATTCTAGTCCCCACTTGGCCATGCAGTTTAGTGCAACTTTACACCATTCACTGACTCAGTGTCACTGACCTCACAGGGTTGTTGTGAGGATAAAATGGAGAAGCAGAGAAGGAAAATCAAATAAGCCATCTTGGGTTCCTTGCAGGAAAAGGATGAGATAGCAACAAAATCAAAAAAATAAAGTGGACAAACCTAAGGCTCTTTGTATCTTAAGACCTACTGGTATATTAAGAATGTAATGAGGTAGTTATTATTGAATCTGAATAACATGTCATTTCCTACTAGGCTGTCAGATAGTAACAGCAATGTTAATTGCCCAACACCAAAAGTATACATAATGTTAGGAGTGCAATTTAAAATTAGATGCAAAATAGATAAGCGAGTAAATTGACACATGTTTTGTACAAGTAGCTATGCCAATGCAGTGAGTTTCAGATTGTTACTTGATAAGCTGCATCACAAATGGTAATTGGAGTGGGGGGGGGGATATCTCACAGGAGATTCTTCTAAAGTGAAATTAGCCACATCAGAAAGTGTCATTTGCCAACGGCAGATTTACTTGGCATTTCAAGGAGCAAATCAAGAGTTTATGCAAGCAGTACTTCTTTGAATTTGTTTTCACTTTTCTTGCATAGCTCTCTAGTATGGACTGTAAAATAGCAAAGTGTAAAAGAATAAGCAAAGGACAGTGTTCCTTATGTATTTGGTAGAGTATCTTTACACCTGTTCTAGTACAAGAAGCATTTCCAGGGGTACTATAGTTATGTAGCCACTTTTCAATAAAATAATGTTATACCTTAGAAAATGGGTTATCCTGGGACAGCTGATGGTCAAGATCAAAAAGGACTGCTCTTCTGCATATGTATATATTGTACATCCATTCCTCTGGATGGCAGCCAAAAGGTGTAATTTTTCAAGTCTACTGTGGCATATAATCACAATCAGTTTTAAACAAACCTCATATAGCTCTTAAGGAGGTAAAAGCAAACAGGAGGTTTAACTGTTTTTGATTGGCATGGCAATTGAGTTTCACATGAGGAACTGTGAGGGTAGAGCTTGGAAGTAGTGTAGAATTTCAGATTAATTGATCCAAATAAAGAATGTGGTTATGCGAATGCAACACCAAGGCTGAAACAGACTGTTCAATAGAAAGAATAAGGCTTGCAGATCTTAACAATGGGAGAGAGTATGTGCATTTTTCAGTGCAGTGGATTTTATTTTGATATGCAAATGACTTTGCTAAGGATTGTGTTTAACTACTAATAATTACTTTTAACCTTAAACATTTTGGTTTATTCTAATTTTGGTATATAATGATTCATCAAGACAATGAGATATCAGTGTCAAATATTCAGGTTTGATTAGTGTTTCAGTTGGTAATTTTCAAATGTTTTAGAAAACCAGGACCCCATTTAGAGGTTGTTTCTTATCAGGGAAAGCTAGTGAAAGTGAAAGTTCACAAATAATATTTCTGGGAAGTAGTGCATTTAGAAAAAAACAATTAGTTTCTGAGGATGAATGTTAATATAATTATATGTGCTTTTAATAACATTAGCAGAATAGGAAAAGGGATATACTAAGGACAACTAACTTGTAAGGCTTTTATTGGTTTACATCATATCAGCCTTCTAGAGGAAAAGAGGAAAGTTTACATGTTGAAATGCTTGCTATCTCTCCTGCCTTCTCTATACATATAAAAAGGGCTTGTCAGAAAGAAGACTTCAGAGCATCCTTCTCTGGACATACTAGTTCTCCTGTCTTTTTGTAATACAAATTTTATTAAGTTTAAAAAATACACATACAACAGAGAGCTGTTTGTGGAAATAATTTGTTCGATTCAGTTTGATTAATTAGGAAAACTTAATTTCATCTATAATAGTTCAGCATTTTTGTTCCTTCTCTTTACAGCAGGAGTAGGTAACTTTGTGGAGGGAGGGCTGTGGACATGTTTGGCAATTTTAGAAACTATTGAGCACCACTACAAAACAGCTGCCATGGAAAATATGGCCAAGCACAAAGGCTCTCCCACACTGGGGGCATTCCAGGTGCAGCTGTCCTCCATGGCCTTATTGGCTCCTTTCAACCCTACTATTTTATGATTCTGTGCCAGTTAATCTCCCCAAAGCCAGAGTACAGGCAAAGATGGGGTATAGCTCCAACACTTCACTTCCTTTTCCCCTTCTGTTCTCTCTAGTGTCCCCCACCCCCATGTATCATACAAAAGTGATAGGAGTCCTGTACCAACAAAGCCTCAAAGGTATAAAAGGGGACATTCATTGGATAGGGACATAAGGAGGATTGGGCTGCAGATTTACAGTTTCTGGTCAGTGTCCCAGCCTCCTCCTCACCCCCCCCCCCAGCATTAAATCTAGACAGCCCAAAATGCATGGCAGCAGGCATGGCCATGGAGGAGATAGGCAGCGCCGCATCTAACTTTTAGTATTGGATGCCCAGAAACCTCAGAGTTCAGAGGCTTGTGCACATCTGGTGTGGGGCTACAGGCCCATGCAGTGTCTTTCATAGCTCTGTGGAGAAACCACAGAGTAGCTTCTCAGGAAGCACAGAAACCTATGCAGAGCAGGAATTGGCAAAAACATTCCTCCCCTCCCCCATCCACTGGGGATGTAACCCATGAGCAAAGTTTTATAAATAATAAATGCAAAATAATAATGCACTCTCACGGGCCAGTACAATATATGTCTGGCTATCTAGATTTTTATATTTTACTCTACCAGACTATTATGAGGTTATTCAAAGGGCAGTGAAACATTTCTTAACTGACTAAGTAAAATAGGGTTTTAATGGTTGCTTTAACCAAGTAATAGGCTCTTCTGCAAGCGTTTGTTTTGTCTGAAAACCACTTGACTTCTAATGTAAGAAAAGTGTAGAAATCTAATTAGATTTTTATCAGACATTTTAGAAGAGGAAACACTTTAACCATGCTGCCCTACACTTAACCTACCATGAAAATAAATTAGCTGCCTGTGTCATATAGCTGATCCTAACCCCAACCCCACAGACCAAATCTGCAACACATACAGAAATCTGAGGGTACACAAAGATATAAACATTACATGTGACTAATAAACACATTTACAATACAAACCACAACCCAATTAAGCTGAATTTCCGACATCACTCCAATGACATAAATATATGAATGGCAAACAATTAAGTTTGCTTAAGGTCAGACTGCTTGATTATTTAAAAAACAGCATTGCTGTTTTGCTCTTCTGGATGACAGTTTTGAATGAAGTTGTTCAAAAATCTTATTTTACTCACAGTACTACTAGATAGTCTCAGTACCACAGGGATGTGACATCATATTAGGATCAGTTTACACAACCATTTTATGGGCTCATATTTAATCTCTAGTGACTTTTATTCAGTCCTGATTTGAGTATGGATTCAGTGATGAAGCCAATAGAGCATGGAGTCTTTTTCTGCATTGGATTTATTTATGATAAGTGCTCATTTATTATTCAGCTGTAGTGGAGGAATCAGCTGCCTCAAAGGAAGCACTTCTGTTACAAGAATATTGCATTTTTCCAGAAATGCAAATGCTCCATTTTGTACATATTTATTTATCTGTTTAATAGATATACTGCTCGACTGGCAAATACTCTCATGGCAGTTTAACATATTTAAAAAGAAAACAATTGAAATGAAAACAATACAAAATATTGATGGAAATATCAAAATGTTATACTATCACAACTTTAAAAAATATTAAAGAGCCAATTGTTACATTAATAATCATAGTAAGACTACAGTTAAATAACTGCTGAAAGACGAATGTCTGTACATATCAACTGACAATA